TTAATTCTGGAAAGAAACACTGAAATGGTTCTTGTTTTAATACAATTTATGCTGTCACCTCATAACTGCAAACTAATCTCATTACATTTAGTAAATAAATACGTTAAATAGGTAAAATCTGTTTCCACTTGAATAAATTTTCTTTTAAAATTAATGTCAAATCTGGTTTAATGAGAGCCACTATCATAGACCCCCATTTATACCTCATGGGCCCCCAAATTATTTTTTTCGCTTACGTGGATCCCTTGCAGGTCGTCATAGACCTCTGGGGATAGATATAGACCACTTTGGAAATCACTGATGTACAGTGAAGTTCGTTTAACGCGAAAACGCTTTCTCTTGTCGCGAAACGAAAATCTCTTATAAAACTCAAAAAAAGATTTCCCTTCTGGAAATGAACTAAATACAGAAAGATTTAAGCTGAATGTAAAGTGAAAGAGAGTTGGTTTCACAATATTTTTCTGTATTATTGGACTATCCTACTGTATCATGGAAAGAATTCATTGCGGTAGATGATAATGTGTGTGCAGCTTCAATTATGGCAGAAAAAGACATTTTGTTCAAAATTCAAAAAATATCATTGATGCAGATTCCGACAACGAAAATGAAATAAATAATGCAGCTCCTGTTCCCAAATCATTCGAAATGAGGAACGTCACGAAAAATATGCACAATTATTTAGAAGGAAATTCCAATGGGAACAAAATGGACGACATCGAACAATTTATTAAAAATTTGATGCTAAAAAAAGACAATGCAAAGGAAAATATCAAATTATTTTCTAACAACTCAATAAATGTTTTGATTTTCAAAAAATTTGAAAGCTTTATATTAAATTTCATTAAGCTCCTTTGAATGTTTTTGTTTTACTGATTATTAAATACATGCATATACATATCTATGTAAATAAAATGTAATCTATTTTTTATTGAGAACATTTATAACCCCGTACACCACAAAGTATCACACGAAGGCTTACTTAGAAGTAAGCGTGAAGCACACAACACAAAGGAAAGAAGGGATACAACGTAAATATCCATGCCTTCTCTGGGACTCGAACGCAGGCCCTACGGCACCGTAGTCAGCGTCACTAACCACTATACTCCGGATGGGTGGCTAATGTGCCCTTTAAAACTTAACTTTGTTGAATATGTGTTTATTTATTTATTTTGCAATATCCTTTAACACGAAAAAATATTTCTGTTTCCTCAGTTTCGTGAAATGATTTTCACCGTATTTGCTTTAAAACAGTCTTCGTTAAATGTGCGTGTTCGTTAAACGCCGAGCACATTTTCAGACAGAAAAATGCCTCAATTTTTACATAAATTTGCATCATTATATCTCACACATTTCTTTATAATATAGTGTTTTTAAAATTTGAAAATATTCCATACATAATTAATTTTTCTTTTTAGTATGTAATGTAGTGGTCTTCAAAATTTTTTGACTCACGGAACCCTTAGAACAGAAAGGCGTTTTGAGGGAACCTCTCTCTCTCTTTCCACATATACACTTAGAGGAATAAATGTTAAAATTATGTTTAAGGTACTCGTAGATCACACATGCAATAGATACTTTATGTAAAGCCAATTTTTAAAAAAGTTTTTTATTTACAATAAAGAAATTTTAATGTAATTTTTATATAATTTACTCATTATATATAATAATATTAATTCTGATCCAACAGAGTGTCACCTATTCATACATTATATTTAGTATGTGCTTGCATTTTTTTTCTTTTTTATGCAAATTGTCGAAGTCTAGGTCTATTGAAGTTATCTGCAATCACATTTCCTATTCAGCGTTTAATTTCTTTTCATATTTTGTTTTTGAGCTACTCACGTTGAGAGAGAGAGAGAGGTCTTTTCACTTAAATGCATTGTTCTGAATGGCAATGAAATATTTAAAGCAGTGTGAGAATTCTGTGTATTTTGCATGAATTTGTAACCCAAAATTGAAGAAGTGTTGTTGCTTAAATTTAGATTTTAATGTCGAATTTGGTGATATGTCGATAACTTGTTTCCTCATTTTCCTTATAGGTGTTGTTTTAGGCAAATAGAGAGAAAAAGTGATTTTCGATTAGAAAACTATTTAGTTTTTCAAAACATATTGACGAAGTTAATATCGTTTCGTGAAACCCGAGATAGTAAACGGTAGAATATTCGCGTGAGTGAGTAAATATTAACGTCGCACTGTTTAGCTAAACAAGGGGTTTTGGCGACGGACCTTGTAATTTTGAACCAAGATCAAGTGACGAGGACGACACCTGATATGGCACCCCCTCTTCCTCCCTGTAACAATGTACACCTTTACTGAGCAGAAATTAGCTTAGGAAGGTGTTTTCAAAAATCGACCCTCAAGGGTGTTACGGGGCGTTATAAATAAAAAAAATCCTTTTTATCAGCTATTAGACCATTAGACTTAAAATTTAAAAAATATGGGGGTTTTTTTCCAGCTGAGATATGCAAAAAGCTTTTTTTGTGTTTAGTTTGCAATTCACGTAAAATTAACTCATTAAAAACTTCTTTATTCTTCAATCTGTATTGTTTAATTTTTCAATTCACTCTTGCGAAGAATGGGTATACCAGCTAGTATTATAATAAAAGTTAATAAAGTAATAAAGTAATATACAAAATACAATTATTAGATATCAATAAAAGTTTCAGTTTTAATGACTGGGATATTTGTGAGTATACAAACTTCATAGAGAATGAGAATCCATTTTGCATTCGCACTTATAATTTTCTTTTCGATTTTTATTGCGAATCATGGAGACTCTAAGTATGCCCTGTGGATCCCCAGGATTCCGTGGAAAACAGTTTGAAGATCATCACTGTTCTAGAGAACTTTTGTATGATTTTAAAATCGCCTTCCGTGGAGAAACGAACTATACAAGCATAAGTTGCTATCCAGAGTCAAGAGAAGAGAGAAAGGGAGTCGATGGTCGTCAGGCTGATATTGAAGATAGAGTTATATTAATTCGAGTCATCGGAGTTTGAGTTAGAAGAGTCGAGATCTCTGGGAAGAAGTATCATCCGCGCGGGATACAGAATTAATAATCACGGCTTACTTTAAGAATTATTATTAATTTTTAAATTAGCAATTAAAGTGACCGATCCCTTCATTTAAGGTATCCGTTTAGGTTGAAAAAGTGCTTTTCAGGTGTTTGACGTTTGATGTTATTTGGGGGGGGGGCATTAAGGAAATAAGAAATATAACTATTGAGGAAGAAGGACTAATACATAAAACTAGACAGTTTCTTAAGTTGTTTTTATAGCATTTATACTTTATCGAGCGTATAAAAATATTTTTAATGCATTTTTTGAAGAATGAAATTTTTCAATAATTTGTGCACGAAAAACGAGATATCTCCTAAACAATCCAATCAAATTCAGTGAAATTTATAACATATATGTTATGGATCCTTCAAAGAGTAACAAACCACAGGTTTTAAGGCACCTACATTTCATCACATTTTACAGCCATTTTTAGCTTAGAAAATGCAGTAATTTTGATGAAAAATCATTAACATCAAATGTATAAATGCTAATAAAATATTTATTTCTTAAAACATTTTTTATCCTGTGGTTTGTGATACACTTCAGAGGGATCAAGAAGTATATCAATGCAAATTAAAATTGTATAATTTACAATTTATTTTTATTTATGGCGTCTTTCTTAACTTTAAAAATTTTGCTAAAATTTCCTAAAAATAATTTTTTTTTCGAAACCAAAGGATGATACAATATTTATTTAATAATTATAACTTTTTAAGTCTATTTATGCTTTTTAAAACAATAAATTTATTTCGAAAATAAATTTTTGAAATATTGGTCTCCGAACCTAGTCGGATGTCTTAAACAATCTTTGGATAGTAAATTGATAAGTAAAATAAAAAGGTGTAGATTTTACTAAAATGCCTTTTGAATCCATGTATCCAAATCCCCAAGTGCCCCCAGGGTTGAGACAAACTGTCGAAAAAGAGGCACAAAATTATAAATGAAAGAAGAAAATTAGAGTATCAAGGAGCCATTTATGTCCATACGTGGGCGCAAGGAGGACTCCGGTAGCTGCAGCGATCAAAATGGACGATCAATAAAAATATTATTTATAATATTTAAATAATACTTTACACGAAACAAAATTTTCCATCCCTTTAAAATCTAAAAATATCCAAGATATTTTTATTTCCGAGGTTTGATGCAAGAACAGTCACAGTCAAAATATCATACTAGTGGAAATTAAACTTTCAAGTTTCGTGAAAATACTTCTATAGCAGTGACACAGTAAGCGTTTTATTCTGAATTTTCATGTTTGCACTAATAATTAAATTTGACATTACTTGTTAATTTATTTAAAAGTTATTTCAAAACTCTTTTTATTAATCCTTAAACATATCAGAATTATGAAAAGTGTTTCTGTATCTTCGGTTGGGGATGTAAGTGTATCTCTTGCCCATTTATGAGTGATCCTGAATTCATTTATGCATCTAAGAAAACATTGGTGGAAATAACGTTGAGGAGCGTTTTCCCATAGCGACATTTTTACTAGTAGAACTAGTTTTTATATTTTCACTGATTCTCAATCAGCATTATTAATGGAAAACATTTTACACAAATAATTATTTAAACAAATCAGATGTTTAAGAGTGCATGTAAACACAGGTGAACTTTTTCAAAAGATCATTATAAAGGAACAAGTAATATTTTTTAAAAAAAATCTTTTTTAATCAATTCTTACTTAGATTAACAAATAAAATTTTTATTTTAGTTACTTTTTATATTGAATAGTTACAATTAATATAAATATGTATGTACATATGACTGAATCATAATATTAAGTGGCAAAATAGAAAGCGATTTTCCTTGCAATTTTCCATTTTCCTTTCTATATAGGATGTTGGACTATATTTTGTTTGCTACTGTTTATTCATTTATTTAATTCCATTATTCTAATAAAATAGTATTGCAAAAAAGAAATCCCATTCTCAGAAATTAAGCCATCCCAGGTGGGATTCGAACGCATGACCTTTGGATTAAAAGTCCAACTTGCTATCCACTGCAATTCAGGGACACAAAGAAAAAATTTTCTTTCTATGTATGGTGTTGGACAACTATTTTTGTTTGTTACTATTTATTCATTTTTTAATTTATATAATGAATTAATAATTGAAAAAAACTGTATTAACATCAAGTGTCACATCCACTACAAGTTTTAAAAAAATGTATTTGAACATGAATAGATGAATAGGAAGTATTTTATTAACAATTGAAAATTGGAACACGATGTATAAATAAATAAATAAATATATCATGAGAAACTGAACTAATAGTAGGAATTGAAAAAGGAAGGGGAAAACACAATAATTTCTTTTATTAGACGTAGTTTTTTTATTTTGTATGGGTGAAAAGTCTATAGAGTCGCATACGGCTCACGAATTGTTGTTTTATCGACCTCTCGGCTAGGGTATCAATCCAAATGCAACAAAAAGCATCAAAAAGAGCAATAAATAAATAAATAAATAAATAACAAAGGATTCTCTGAGATTAAATTTTTCTTTTCGTTTATGAAAATATTTGTATCGTTTGTAAATTTCAGACCTTTATGAAATTTTGAGTAATATTTTTAGATATCGAAGAAGATAATTTAATTCCAAAGTTATAACAAATATAAATAAATCAAAAGGTATTTTTCTATTCCTTTCATAAAGTAAATTCCATTTTTGCTGTTAATATATAATTACTATTCCTTTATCAAAACAAATCCACAAGGTTATTATTTGTTTCTTTCTTCTCAGGTGTGAGTAAATATAAGTAAACCGGTGGAAATTACTCATAAAAGAGTTTCTTCAGAAAGATAATTACTTTCTCAAGTCTTATCTCTCGTACCGGAATACTTTACTCATCTAAAAGAGAAGTTAGATAAGTTTTTAAAGCGGAAAAAAAAAGCAATTTAGAAAGAGAAGTATTTCCTTAAAACAAAACCATTACTTTGAGAAGAAAGTCTTCAATCTTAATATCTTCGAAAGAGAGAGCACAACCACCAACGCTTCTACTCAAAATCGATGAAGAAAAAAAGGGGGGTTGGGATACAGAAAAAAAAGAAAAAAGATCGGTATCTCGTTTCCGCCCATCCCCCATCAACCCCGTTGATCGAATCCAACATCCCATAAAATAAACACCACCAAACGATTCTTTAGTGCCCTTTCCCCCTCTCCTTTTTTAAAAAAAATACCAAAGAAATTGTTCTCTTAGAAAGCCACTAATTCCTAAAGACAGAAACATAAAAAAAAGAACCAAACGAACAAACAAAATCACGTTCCAACTTGGGGGAGGCTGGGGGTAAGAATGGAATAAAAAAGCAAAAAGAATAAAGTGAAGATGCACCTTGAGACAAATCGTTTGAACAGCCCTTGAGGTCAGCAAGAAAACAGTAACCTCCCTGCTACAGAGCGGTATCTCACCATTTCTGCCTTCCCCACCCCAATTGGCGAAGGGGGGTCATAATTACTACTCTCTACCTTTCATCTCCCCCCATAAAGCTTTGGAATTTTTCAGGTATGTTGCAAACCCCCCAGCAGCATGTGCATGTGTATATATATATGCATCTATTTCCCTCCCAGAAGACTGCTTATCTTAATACGTGTGGCCTTATCGTCGGCTTCCCACGCTTGGATGATGATGACGATGATGTTGGTGATAATGATGAGCAGGCTGTTCTTTTGAAAAGAGAGCTTATTGAAAACTCTCTTCAGCAGCCCTTTGATGCCCTATTCGCACCTTTGTGGATTAGCGATGGTGAAGAGTTTTTAAATTGATGTCGGTTTGCAGACGCTTACTAGGTGATTTGTAAGTGATTGTGAGGTATTGCTGAGTGATTGCTTAAACAAAATAGGGGTATGGTTCCTAATGGTAAATGCGTTACGACATTTCAGTGGTCTTATGTTGAATTGTACTATGTTGTGAAGATCAATTGAAATTGATAGAAAATGCAGCTATTTTTTTAATTATAAATTTACTTTAGAACAAGGTTTCTTTATCGAAAGTCCACGAAAATAGTTCAAAGATATCTCAATCTTGATCTATGTTTCGTTCATTTTATGTTTGAAAAAATGTACAGTATCATTTGACACGAAACTAAAGGGACTGAAATATTTTTTCGTGTTAAAGCATATTGCAAGAAAAAAAACATATATTCAACAAAATTAATTTTATTAGAGTACATTTTATTTACATAGATATGTATATATGAGTGTATTTAATTTTAAAAAAAAGAAGGAAAAACATTGACAAGAACTTAATGAAATTTAATATAAAATGTTCAAGTTTTTTTGCAAAACAAAACATTTATTAAGTTTTTAGAAAATAATATGATATTTTTCTTTGTATTGTCTTTTTTAGCATCATATAGTCATCATTGTTCGATGTCGTCCATTTTGTTTTTCATTTTACCGTTGGAATGTGCGTCTAAATAACTCCGCATATTTTTCGTGATGTTCCTCATTTCGAATGACGTGGGAACAGGAGTTAGGTTATTCATTTCCTTTTCTTCGTTCGAATCTACATCAATGATATTTTTTGAGCTTCGAACAAACTCCAAAATGTCTTTGTCTTCCATAATTAGGGCTGTACACACATTATCCTCATCTACTGCAACGAATTTTTCTGATAATACAGTAAGACAGTCTAATATCACAGAAACTTTCTCAAATATTTCATTAAGATTTTATTTCCAAAAACAAATTTCGCATGTTAAGCGATTTTCGTTTCGTGTTAAGAGAAAAAATGGCAGAAAATACTGAGTAGTTTGTCGGGACCGTTGTATTATTTCGTGTAAGCCTGTATTTCGTCTTAAGCGTTTTCGCGTTAAACGTATTTCACTGTATATGAACAGATTTTAAAATTCTTTTCGTTCAAATACTTATAAAAGTAAAATATAACTAGTTGCATTTGTAATTAAGACTACCATATTGAAATTTAATTCATCTCAAGATAAACAACTTTTAAAACAGAAATATATATTTAATAAATAGACTTTTACCTGAAATTTCTTAAATAGTAACTGTTTTTATGCATCGCTATCGCTTTGGATATTATAAATATTTATGTTTACATCTATTTAGAGAGAGAGAGAGAAGAAAAGCATTCACTCCTTCACCCATCACGAGATCTCCGGTACTGTTAGACTAAAATGCTTAAAATTTTGCAAGCTTGTTTCATTTATTGATTGAAAATCCGCTATGGAAGGGTTTCGTGGAAATTGACTCCTATGAGCAGTGCCGGGTTTGTTTGTTTTTTGCCTTTCTGGGCGCTTGGGGCAGGCGCCCAGAAGGGCCTGGGTAAGCTAGACTTAACCAGATTTTCTGGTTATAAGTTTCGATACTCCAGTGCCAAAGGGGCATTAGATCTTCTGCGCCCAGGGCCCGAAATGAGCTTAAATCGGCCCTGCCTAAGAGGGGGGAAATTACAAGGACTTAAAAGATAAATATATTCCCCTTTTTCTTTTAGAAATTCAAATCCTCTGTCCTTTTTTTAAATCAAGAGAAAGAGAATGTATATGAAGAATGTTTTTGAATACAATCCAAAGCTTAGTGCTGGGACTTATGTATCTAAAAACAATACATCATACACATGTAATATCAAGAGAAGCGAGTGGCAGTGACTAGTTTTTATTTAAAAGCATTAAGAAAGAAGTACACAAAAAAATCGTTTTTGCCTATTTTGATTAGTTTGATATTTATTTAAATGTAAATTTTCTGGACTTCTTCGTTATTTTACTGTATGCATATATATGGATGCTGTATATTCACATGCTGTTAAACGCTTGTGAGAAAAGTAATCCCTTTGAAAGGAGTCCGTAAATTTTAAATTAACAGCCAGAAAGGTTCACGATTGCTAAAATTTGAAAGACATATAAGAACCGTATTAAACATTCACCATAAATTAGATTGTAAAATACATAGAATGCTTCTTTAAAACCTAAAATTTTGTGATATTAATGCCTGCATAATATAAATAAACAAATAAGGAAAAATAATTGAGATTATTGTATCACAATGGAATGAGTTACATCTTGAATATTCTTTCGATTTAGTAATATAATTTTAAGAAAATAAATTTCTATTTAACATGAACTTAAATTAGCATTCTTTTTTTATTTTTGTGTTTTATAGATGTCTACAATTCTTTATTTGTTGTTATATTAAGCTATTGAGGCTGTTTTATCCTCCATATAAGGACCCACTAATCAAAACCACCTTTTAGCTTTGAATCATTAGTAAGATGATGAAGTCGCATCTAAACTGACGCCTCAATATCCACACCACACCATTGGGTGGAAATTGTCCTGATAGATTTAACACGTCTCACAATTCCTCCACTAAAGGTTTGTCACAGATATCATGAATCGAATATGCTGCACGGCTGAAATGTAACCAGCTACAATCTTACTTTAATTCTCGGAATGAGAATTATATCCTCCTCGGCTCACTTATATTACATGTGATACAAAAGTTTCATAATTTTTTGTGAAGGCTGAACAGCAGAAACAAATTTGGGACTGGTTGCATCACATGAGATACAAAGAGAAATACCTCATATAATTCCCTCCTTTAGTCAACACATGGCAGTACCTGTCCACGATAGCGATTTTTAGTAGCGTCTCTGAATCAAAACAAAATGTGTGCACGTCGTCGAAATAAGTATTTTTTTCTTATTTAAATACAAATATTAAACTATTTTTAAAATATGCTTTTTCTTTGTAGATGTACTTTTAACTAGTTAACAGCACACAAAAAAAATTCAGTGCAATATTAAAGCATGATGATTTGTGAAATTTGTTTGTATTACTTGTGATACAATGAGACCCAATCACTTATACACATACTTTTTAAGTCTCATTTTTGTTTTAATTTTTAGTCATATTTTGGGGGGATTTGCAGATTGGTAGAATTATTTCTTGAGTTAAAATCTTAAGTTGAGGTGTGTGAATGATAAGCCCCCTTCAAAACGCAGAGTTACGACTTGCATTCCACATCAAGCAGCTCATAACAAAGAAGCTAGGCGTATGCCTAA